CAGATTCGAAGTTTCGTCCCTGATCTGAATGCAACTCTAGTGGCACACCATGACGACTGAAAACTTCGTCCACTAGCACCTGGGCAATAGTGATGGCTTCTTCATTGGGAATAGCGAAAACTTCTGGCCATTTACTGAAGTAATCCATGATAACCAAGATGTATTTGTTACCACGCTCTGACTCAGGGAACGGTCCGGCAACATCTATCGCTTTTCTTTCAAATTGGAGACCGACGTTGTACTGTTTCATGCCCCCGAGATCTTAGTTTAGGCCTTCTACTGTTAGCACAGATGTCGCATTCTCGGCGCCAGTTTTTAACGTCTTCACGATAGTGCACCCAGGAAAAACGTTCCCGAATTTTGTCCAAAGTCTTGTTAACAAAATGTGCCCCAGAAGTTCCATCATATAGTTCCTCCAATAGATCTTCTACTCGATTTTTTCGAATAACCAGTTGGCTCTTAGTAGATTTCTCGTCGGCACTTTCCCAAACTCTTTTCAGTAAACCATTTTCTACGGCCAGAGAGTTCCACTGATACCACAACGTCTTGTAAATCAAACTCTTGTTCAACACTTTCCTCCATTCTGGCCTATATTTTCTTTGAGATGTAGAATTCGCCCGATGTCCTGCTCTGCTTCTTTATCTGCTCTTATTTGTTTGGTAGTCCATTCATCATCAACGTTAAGACCCGTTCTTCTCACAGCCGGACCAGTGTTTTTCTCATGCATATCGATTCTTTGAGAATGCTTGCAGTCTTCTTTGCATGGCCGCTCTGTCTAGCGTCAGCATTTTGATGCAGGTTTCCAGGTCGATGTTTAATTAGGAAATCGTATTGCTGCAATTTCTCAATCCATCTAGCAAGCTGTCCTTCGGGAGCTTTCATTTCTAAAAGCCATTTTAGAGCCGTGTGATCTGTTCAATTCAGAAACATACGTCCGTAGAGATACTTATGGAAATGGTCGACTGCTTTTTTTACTATGGCAAGCCAAGAAACTCTCTTCTGGCGAGTGGTGACACAATAATGTCGTTCTGACTTTGATAAGGTTCTGCTGTAGTGTCCAGTGTCCAAAATCAACATGCCTTGCTAATCGGGATAGGAGAACACTGGGCTCGTAGATAATGCTCCTTTTAATTTTCTGAGAGCCGAATCGCATTTTCGGGTCCGCTTGAATTTTGATTATTTTTTTTCCGTTAATCGATGAAGCGGAGCAGCTATATCAGCGAATCCTTCTATAAATCTTCGATAATAAGAACATAATCCTAGAAAACTTCTTAGTTAGCGTGGTTTTGGCCAATCCCTGACAGCATCTATCTTTCCTTCCATAACTTGTATGCCATCTTCAGATACCATGTGACCTAAGAATTCCACTTTCTTTTGAAATAGAAAACACCTATTTGGATTGCGTTTTAAGTTGGTATTCCGGAAGCGATCAAAAACTTCTCTCAGGTTATTGAGATGTTCTTGGAATGAATTTCCCATGATCATCTAAATATACCAGGCAAGTTCTCCATGTAAGGCCTCGCAAAACTAGATGCATCAGTCGCTCAAACGTAGCTGGAGCATTACACAATCCGAAAGGCATTACGTTAAACTGGTATAACCCGCTTCCGGTACTCAAGGTGGTTTTCTCTTTGTCATCTTTGTGTATTGCTACTTGCCAGTATCCACTCTTGAAAGGGGTAGGGGTGTGGCCCAAAAAAACAACTTGAGCTACTTGAATCAAGAAAAAAAATCTAAGATCTCTCGTGAAAACCGCAGTCTTATATTCAAAATAGTATCCGAGAAAATATCTTATGAAGATAAATTTTGCGGGAACTTATGACGTCACACCGGCTAACCGCCGAAATTGCAGCGTTCTGTTGGTTCAGTCGACAGTGATCCATGCTCTATACTTTGAGTGATTGAAATTTGCTCTAGTGAGATCGTTGACTTTTGTTTTCGAAAATTATCACACGTGTTAATACTGTGATTCCGAAACCGGGGTGACGTCACAGCCTAGGGGTTCGTAACTTCAAACCGCCCTTACTCGAAAACGCTTTATTGTAGTAAGATGCGGAGTCGTTTGGTCTCTTGACCATTCCAACAGAAGTTATTCAATTTTTTCTTGTTCCATTTTTGCTTATTGTCTCAATAGGCATATACAGAATATTCTGGAATTTTCCTCAAACTTTCTCCAAATATCTTTCCAGGTTTCTGATTGAACTTCCAACTTCCAAACACGTCGGTGAAATCACAAATTGGATAACTGCTTTATTCTCGAATAGATTGTTCTAGAATGTTCTTGAATGTCTTTTCTGAATGTCGATTGATATACAGTGTCCGCCAAAATGTGCTACATACAGGGTGAATCCGAAAGTGAGGCTTTTTTTTTAACAGGATGTATATCTCACCAAAATAAGTTGTTTGGCAGGAAATTGTTTATATAAAAAAATTAAGATAACGGAGGTACAGCTATTTTGAGGTTAGAGGAGACTTCCACTATAAATCACTTTGTTTAAATTTTCTCAAAAAAAAAGCCGCAAAAAAGCTATTATTAGTCCAGCATAATGAGTCTTATTCCATAATAGGTACTCACAGTTGCATTATTCCATCAGAAAAAAATTCATTTTCAACCTATCAATTTTCGTTTTAAAGTGAAACAGACAAAATTTAGGAGGGAAATGAAGCATCATACAAATGGAAATAATTTTGAACAATTTTTGTGATAATTTTTATCATATTTTCTCTACTAAATCTTAGATTATTGAAATTAGATTTTTAATGCACATAACCCTAAAATACCTGTACCTCCGTTATCTTAAATTTTTTATGTAAACAATGTTTTGCCAAACAACTTATTTTGGCGAGATATATACCCTGTTAAAAAAAAAAAAACCTCACTTTCAGATTCACCCTGTATAGGGTAATTTTTTATTTGTAGGATATGGAATTTTTTCTTATGTGCGATCGATCCTGCATGTTTGATAACCTGAAAGTACATTTTGACATTGGTCACGTCACGTGATAACTTTTGTGGCGGCAAATTCGAAAATTTAGATATGGAAACGCGAAAAGTGGGGTTAGATGGCAAAATTTCGGAAAAAGTTATTTGAAAAAAGTGATGTTTTAGGGCTGTCTGCGAAATTTGGAGCCAAAGCAACAAAAAGCAGGAAATTACTTGTTTTTCGTCATGGATCTCTTATCAAATAGTCCAAGACCTCAATATTTAATGTGTGTTAAATGTTAAATTCTTCATTGGAATCATTCCTAGAGAATTAAATAAAAATATTCGATTAGCACATGGAACTTTTCTGTAGCAATACCCTGTATCTTGACAGTTAACTAACATGTTTTGGAACTCTATAATCAATAAAAAATCTCAATAACGGTTCTTTTCAATAATTGTTGTATCAAGAGTAAGTTATTGGCAATCTCACAAACTGTCAAGATACAGGGTATTGCTACAGAAAGGTTTCATGTGCTAGTCGAATATTTTTATTTAATCCTCTAGGAATCATGGCAATGAAGAATTTAAGTTTGTTTTACCAATACACATTATATATTGAGGACTATTTCACTAATAAAATTGTAAAATATTATTTGATAAGAGATCCATTAAGCGAAAAACAAGTATCTGAAGTTTCGAATTTGCTGCCACAACGGTGACCACGTGACTAATGTCAAGATGTACTTTTAGGTAATCCGATATGCAGGATCGATCGCACATAAGAAAAAATTCCAGATTCTACAAATAAAAAAAAATCCCATATCTAGCGAACATTATGGGGGACACTGTAGTAAACACGTCGGTGAAGTCACAAATTCAATATCTTCCTTGGTTTCCAAATAGAATTTTCTAGAACTTACTTGAAAGTTCACTATCAGTCAAAATCGAGTATACAGTCACTCCCGGAGTAATTTACACTCGGTTAAGTCTCTTTTTGCGATTGTCACTGCTTACACTAAATAATTGTCCCAGTAGTGTTCACTTGGTGTCCACACTATTCTGCAATCGGATTTCACTTCGCAGTCTTCGAATTATCTCACTTCTGACACCAATGTCACGTCTCTGGGGTACGTGACAGAAATCTTGGGTGCGTTTATTCAAAAATCAAAGTCCAATTAACACAACAATAATTTATTCCACGTTACTAAACACTCTGACACTAAATACTTCACTAATTAACTCAAACAACTCTCTACAACACTTACAAGATTCACTATCTAAATCGTATAACCAATCTGAAACTAGAAACTACTAATACCGGCCTTTATATACCCGTAATCTATTCTTGTAAAATCTAGAATACACGCGATAATCTCTTTTCCTGAATAAGGCAGTATTTTCTAGATTTCAGGTTTTATTCAGTGCGGCCTGGCGAGGGCGCAGCGCCACAATACGAACTTTAAATGAGTTCAACGATTGTACCTATCCTTTTTTTTATAACGTAGTAAAGGACGAAAATAGTTTTTAGGTTGTGAGTATTTTAATGATTAACCAATGGGAAATAAGGTATCCGCGCATTTTCCGGAAAGTGACGTCATTTTCCGGAAAGTGACGTCACTTTCCGAGCCCGCGATTTCGCAGCAGTTTAAACATTCGATTTTCAAATCGTTTTATTTCTAAAAATTAGCGTTTTTTTTTAGCAAAAGTATAGATATGTTATAAGAATGATTAACTCAATTATTTTAAAATGTTTTTGAAAAATGTGAAAGTGACCCATTGACTAAAAATCTACTATTGAAATTAATAAATGTAATAAAAAAAATGCGAGCCACTAAGAACATTTAAACTCGCCTACTATCTTTTAGAAACACTGTTGTGATCCGCTGCCACCAATGTTGTGATCCGGTCACCAATGTTATGATCACTGTCACAACTTTGAGTTTTAATAACTTCAAAATAACTTTTACTTTTGTCTGGGAGAAATATCTTTATTGTTGTTATGGTACAAAACTCTTACTCGCTACGAAGGTTCTAACTCTAGTGTGTTTTCATGTTGGTTCCTGCTTCCTAAATACTAATCGTAATCCTAATGAAATAAATATTAAACAGCTTAATGATGTTGTTTTTAGTTACAAACGATATTAAATTGAATACTAATTGTAATCTTAATGGAATAAACATTAAACAGCTTAATGGTGTTGTTTTTAGTTACAAACGATATTAAATTGAATACTAAATGAAATAAACATTAAACAGCTTATGCCCGATTGTACCGTCTCTTTTAACCGAGGCTTAGAGATAACTATTCCTTAAAGTGACATTTTTCCATGCAAAACTGTCAATTTAAGGGATAGTTATCGTTAAGCCTCAGTTAAGAGAGATGGTGCAATCGGGCATTAATGGGGTTGTTTTCAGTTACAAACGACATTAAATTGATTTGAATATCAATAAACAAATTAGGTTTTAATTTCACAATTACTTGTTTACAAACAACTTTATCTAGGGCCTAGAAAAATATAATTATGATAATTGATGATGACTAAATAATTATTGTTGTTAGAAAAATAAAATTAGGGTATGGAAAATAACCATCCATATGATGTGAATAGGCTATTCATGTGTAGAATATATTCACAACAACACGACGCGAATGATTTATAGCACTTTGACCAAAATACAATTGACCGTTGTTTTGATTTGACGTTATATTTTGCTAAAAATTTAGACAGAAAGTTATTTGAACACATAAAATAAAACATTATTTATCAAGTTATTTTTGTCATTCAAATAAAACCAATATAATAATACATTTATATTGCTCGAGAGAACCAGAGAAATGAGAAATTGTCGACAGGGAAAAGTATTTTCTCGTCTTGTTTCAAAGTGAATTTTTCAGAGAAAATCGGTCTCTTGTCTCGACGAGGCAAGAATCTCTTGTCTCGGAGGTATCACTACTAATTTTGTCTGATAACTGTGATTGTATTTGTTTTTATTGGGATGTATTTTTACAAATTGTTGTTTAGTTGAGAATTTTCTTTATTAATTATTGTGAAAATATATGTATAAGTATATGCTTTTTGTCATATTCATTTGATTTTTTCAAGTAATAGTGTAAACCGCCTAAAATGTTGATATGCAAAAAAATAAAATTAAAAAAAAAATGTGTCTGTACAAGTCTGTCCTGAATCAATATATATTTTTTAAAGATACCTAACTTTCATTTGAAATGATTTCCGTATAGTTTTGAATAAGAGCGTAACACAAAAATCTGACAGGTGAGTAAATTCGTTTCACATACATACAAAACCGGCAAATTTAATTGGCTTTCTTTCGTATCAATTATATGCCGATCTATTTTCAATAAGTAGCTTTAAAAATGCAAAGGTGATACCTATCTATAAAAAGGGAGAAAAAAGCAATCTAAATAACTACCGCCCAATATCGTTGTTACCAGTACTGTCGAAGGTGTACTAATACCTTATGAAAGAACAACTATATGTATATTTTGAAAAAAACAGTTTTTAGGGCCACTACTCTTTCTCATATATATAAATGATATAAGTAACGCATCACCAGATACTAAGTTTTCACTGTTTGCTGATGATACAGTGATTCAGAAAGGGGTAAATCTGGAAGAGTTGAAGTAAGCATAAATGCAAAGATGGATGATCTAAAGAAGTGGTTTGTTTCCAGTAGACCAACTTCAAATAAAACAAAAACTGTGAATATGGCATATGGACTCAGAGAAATGAATGAAAATGTCGAGGAAGTGAAATTTCTTGGAGTGTATTTTGATCCTACACTAAAATTCGAAATTCATGTGAACCACACAGAACGACTGACTGAAAGTATTTTTCTGCTAAAAAACTTGTCTCGTGTGCTTCCGGAAGGCGCATTAGAACAGACATTTCTTGCATTGTTCCAGTTCATCGCTGTCTGTGACATGGGGGCATTCAGCACATGCCAAGCGTATATTTGCACTGCAGAGAAGGGCTGTGCGTATTGTGGCGGGGCTCAGATATAGAGATGATGTAAAAGAAAAGTTTATTCAGTTAAAAATCTTGACAATACCAAGCCGGTATATCTACGAGTGTGTTCTTTACTGTAGGAAAAACATTGAATATTATAATAACAATAGCTCTTTCATGATTACTTAACTAGACGCGGGGATAATATAAGGGTCGATTTTCACAGATTGGAACGATCTCGTGTATCAATCAATTATTATTGTCCGGTATGTTACAACAAACTGCTAAATCATGATAGGAGTATGTCTTAAAAATCTTTTGATGCCTACGTGAAACAGCCCCTCATAGAGGGGGCCTATTACAGTATGGAGAAATTCCTGGACACAGAAATATTTTAAATGTTATGTACCTTATGTGTTTCATGTATTTATTTAGTATATGCTTTTCTTATTTTGTATAAATTGAGTGTTATATGCAGAGCTGTCAAAGATACTTTTGAAAAGTATCTAGTTACAAGATAAGTTACTTTTGGAAAAAGTATCTGAAGTTACTTCGGGTATTTAGTTACTCATTGAAAAAAGGATCTTAAATACGTATCTAAGTTACTTTTTAAGATACTTAATAAGATACTTATTAAGATACTTTATTATTATTTCCAAATAGTGAGTGGAAAAACCGATTAAGCTATGGGTTATGGGTGTATATTTGTTCTACAGGTTTCGGGTTCAATTTGAAAATTTTAAAACAAAAATTGTTATAGTTCAAAAATCCCAAATTCGAGAAGGGTCAAAATCACAAGACACTAGAAAGTTATCACAGTTACAATCACAAATCATAGTTAAATTTTTATAGAATAGGTATAATGGACAAATCGCGACGTGAGCTTTTACAGTTAACAGCTGTCATTCAACCCTTTTTTTAAATGAGTTTATACTAACTGCACTTATTAAAAAAAAAAGTATAATCTGTATTTAAACTCTTATGCCCGTATTACATTTGTGTATTTTTCTGTGTATTTATTCATGTAGTTCAGGGTGACAACCGAAAAACTTCAAACGCAACATAAATCCGCATTATGAAAAAAACAAAATAATGTTGGCACCCTGAACTACATGAATAAATACACGGAAAAATACACAGATGTAATACGCGCATTACCACTGTCTACAGTCTGCAAATAAATCAATAATTGTATTTTCTAAAAAAACTAATTTTCCAAAAACCAAAAAAATTTATTTGAAAATCAGGGTCATGGCTTCACAACTAACGTAACACGAAATTATTAAATAAATGGTATCAATCAAGACAACACAAGCAAAAATAAAATGCATAATTGCATAAATAAAGAAAACAAAACACCTACATTTTTAAGAGCTTAGTGTGTATTTGTTATCTGTGTTTTATATTTTATGACACTTATGAAAGTCTATACTCTATACAAACCATAGCTAAATAAGTGGTATGACTATGACGATAATCGTGTTGGTTTTCTTGTCTGCTACCTTATGATTAAAATTGATCTGATTCCTATCCAAAGGCAGTACACTATTTGCTTGCTTTGCCTTGCTAGTATATAGATAGTCTTGTTGCTTTGTCTAGAGCTAGACGGTAAAACTGTCTCCACAGAGCGGTGGGTGAGTACAAATGAATAATACATGAAACGTAAGCTTGATTCTGTTTGAAGTAGTTTGAACCAGTTCCATCTTGTTGTGTGGGGTTTGGTGAACGTCTGAAGGAACTTTTTTCACGGTAAATTTAATACTTTTCGTTAACTTAGATAGGTCAATTTCAGTATCTAAGATACTTTCCAGGATCTAAGATACTTTTCAGTATCTAAGATACTTTTCAGTATCTAAGATACTTTTCAGTATCTTAGATACTTTTCAGTATCTAAGATACTTTTAAGTTTCTCAGATACTTTTCGGTATCTAAGATACTTTTTTAAGATACAAGTTACAGATCCTTCTGAAAAGTAACTAAGATACTAGATACTTTTGCCAAAAATGAAAAGTATTTAAGATACAGTATCTTAGATACTATAAAGTAACTAAGATACTGTAAAGTAACTAAGATACTTTTTTCTGACAGCTCTGGTTATATGTTATTATTTTTTGTATCTATTGTACTATTGACGTGTAAAAAACCGATATTTTGTGTAACTTAAGAATAAATTTGATTTGATTTGTATAATAAACTAACAAGAGCCGTTTAAACACAAGAAAGCGCGGTCTGGCGGCAGAAGCTTTGTGGTTCCCCCTCTCATTCCCGCTGTCCGCTGACAACCACAGGCATGCATTTCAAAGTGTTTCATTCATGAAAAGTCTACATCTTTATTTCCAATTGTAATTCAGAAAGCGTCAATTGTAATTGAGAATAGTCAAATGTAATTGAGAAAGCCTTAAATGTAGTTGCGAGAATAGTAAAATAATAGCTGCTTACGATCAAGCACTTTTCTTACCTAACTTGAAGAATCTAACTAAGTTGCGCGTACGATTTGTCACAACTAAGTTAGAATCTCCCCTCCCCTCTTACTCCTCCTGAGACACCCGGATGTTTAACTGAGATAACTTAGCTGACCTAAGTTGGCGCGAAGTACGCATTTTTTGAATTTTTCACGTTTAATAATTTCTAAATTGAGGTTATATTTCTTTATTTTTGTTTTGTTGAAAGTTGGTCGTTGGAACAGGAACTTTGTCAGTTTTGAATTTAACGACGAGGAAATAATAATTTTAAATATACCAGTCGATGGAACAGATCACATATACAAAATAACGCGATATGAATTGCGCGTACGATCAAACAACTTAGCTCAGCTAAGAAACTAACTTTAACTTAGGTAAGAAAAGTGCTTGATCGTAAGCAGCTAATATTCAGAATTCATTAAATGTATTCGAGAATAGTCAAATGTAATTGAGAAAGCGTCAAATGTAATTGAAAAAACGTTAAAAGTAATTCAGAAAGCATCAAATGACATTCAAAATAGGTAAAATAAAGTTGAGATAATGAAGATTCGAAAATTTTATATACAAGGTGCCACAAATTCGTGAAAATTTATGGGGATATCGGATACGGATTGCTTAATTATTTTACACAGTTTCGAATTTGCATGATCTGAATT